AACAAACCGGGTCGCCAGCGGTCGAGATACAATGTTTTGCCACCCAGCACTGTAATGTTTGACATCCACCGGGCAGTTCCGCCCGCTGCGACATACACCTCGTCAATTTTATTGCCTCCCGACATAATGTTTACCCACACGTTCTTGGTATCGGTACTTGTAAAGTTAATAATAACTGCACCATCACCCACCCTTTTCCACGAGCTGGAGCTACCTTGAAAAGCTCTTTGTAGCGCATTTAGCCCCAGCGTTGCATCTTGCGTTCCATCATCGATCTCACCCATGAATTGGGTAGGTCCACAAACTGTCTGAATATACTCGGACAGCAATGTCGAAATATCCGTCGGGTCAATCATCGACGCAGAAATAGTGGAAAACCCCGTGACGACCCACTTGTACGCGGTTGCTTTCTCGTCCAGCGACGTGCCGTTGTCACTTTTTCCTGACTTGATGAGATCGTTGATTATCACTCCAATACTCTTGCGCAGTGTCTCACGGGTTTTATACGCAGTCTCCTCGTTGGATTCTTTCGTCAGGTGCTGCATACAATTGTTGGTTACTGTGGCGACATCATAAAGTACAAGGTTGGACTCACTGATCTTGAGGCGAATTTCGTCATCCGTAATGCCCGGTGTGTCTTCTCGGTACTCATTAACCGTCATCCAGACACGATCGGTCAAAGATTTCAAGTCACCGCCACAACTGGAGTTCTGCTTCATTGCCGTTTCCAGCGACTCGATCTCGCCCTCTGTAATTTCTTCTACGGCTTCCGTGAAGTTGGCGCCTTTGATGAATGCTAGAAACCTTTCCCAGCTCGAGATGATGTCGTCTTTGTAAGTGAGAGCCTGTAGCAACATCCACTGCGATGTAGCCATAACAATTTGCGTAAGGCGCAACTTTGAGGGAATTTTTTTCCCCATGCACGCGATGATGGCCATGGGCAAGTCGGTCACCACGGCGTTGGTCTGATACAGCATCAACAGAAGCTTCGCTTGGGACGTCTGTGGGTCCTCCGTCTTGACGTTACGAACGTACCGAATGATATCTCTCATTACCAGCAGCAACTGGTTCGTGCATTGCACGGCCCAAGTCAATTTCTTGCCCATTTTAAACAATTCGCCCATTATACCAAAGGTGGCTGTGCCAATAACTGCCATAGCCACCGCAGATGCTTTGCTCGAGACCTCAAGTGTACAATCGCTGTTCTGTCGTGCGCATTCCATGCCACACTCGAGGGGAAATTCTACTGGGCATTCTGTCCAACAAGTATTGGTCAGGCCGTTGCGGTCGTAGTTCCTCGGACAAATGTCCATAATATGGGCCTCACGGTAACACGAGTTGTCAGACGCGAGACTGTAGGGACCGACCCAGTTCCGATATGTTGATCTGACTGTGCTTACGGCGGTAGCAGGTGTGGCGTATTTCTTCAGCAACGCTGCGCTGTCAAACGATTCAGATGCAAGAAGTGGTACTGCTGTTGCAGGCACCTCTGTGGCTGCATCCACTGAGGAGGAGCTTGGTGCTGATCCGTCGTTGTCGTTCAATAAGTTTGAGTTGACAATTCTTGCATCGGTGATACAAATTATTCCAACTAACCATGCGAAAGCTTTTATGAATTGAATCATCTAATGGCGTTGTACAAGAAATGAAGAGCTATTGACACTTTATAGAAAATGCAAAGTGAGGTATGTGCTCACAACGTGGTAATTTCAAACCATGACTTGATAAAGGGACTTCACATTAGTGTTTATTGTTCTAAAATCGAGCCCTCGACAGTGACAGTACGGCACACCGTGAGTAATCACAATAGCGCGGCAAAAGATACTAGCCACCGATTTGCTTTGCCAAGATACAATGATGCCTTTGTGCGAGTTGATTGTATTTTCACTTCCCAAAAAGTAACAACGGCCAAGCGACGAAGGTCTCCAAAGAGCCGGCATATCCGTATCTCTTACTATGTGCGGGAAGCTCACAATCATGGGGCCAAGATTGAGGGGGGGGGGGCTTCTATCCGCAGCGTGCGCCACGGGAGGCAGCCAGCTTGCGGACCCGACAGGGAGCAATAGGCAATCCAGGCATTAACAAGTTCTTGCCTTCTCTGTCTCGCCTCCTAGCCGCCAGCCTGTTTGTCGAGCGCGAATTCCGGTCCCACAAAGCAAACTCCTTTAAACGTGATTCCCTCCGTTCCGATTCAGAATCGGAGCTGCATGTCCCGGATAAGTCAGGCTGGCCCGTCTAGGAAAGCCGGTTTGGTACCCTGTCTCACTTTCGAGGCGTCCTTGCACGTACTCGATTTGGTCAAACGGTCCCACGAGCCATGTTGGAGTGTCCCCCGTGAAGCCGGTCGGGTTGAGCCAGCAGAATGAGCTAGTGCATATAATAACGACGTAGTCATGGCAGAAGGTCAGGGATTTCCTCACTGACATATCTTAAGCATCGTAAGAATTCAATAGACATTATAATACACATTTAGATCTCAGATCATCACAATTGATTATATTTACGTTTTACGGAAACAGATAAACTTGATGCGCCGTCGCTCACAATCTACACGAAATGTTATTCCAAATTTGTAACTACTTCTAATGACAGTCACAGTCCAATCACCCGTTTTCTCAGCAATCCACAAGCATTGTGCTTTTTGAACCCGCTGGTTAACATATACTCCTTGGGAGAATGTCCATAAACATATTCGGAGAGGCATACAAATTACTGAAGCTACAATACCATTAGCGTCTCAGAGCTTATATTCGAGGATATGCTAGCTGCATATCTCTTTGAATAACCTATAAACAGTCGATACGGAAGGTTATCAAATACACATGTCGATCTTTAAATCGCCACAGCAGCGTTGTAATGTTGACTCTTCTGTTGCCCATCCCGTGATTATGCGCTCTAAATTGACACGCACGCCAAGATGCAAGAGATGGCGACATGAACGATTGTAAGAATGTCACTGGAAGTGTTTGCGCAAGCTAATTGCTCAATGGCCTACGTGTACGAGTAAAATCCCAATATACTTACTAGTCCGTAAGTAAGGGTTAAAAAGGTACATGTGTATTTTCTGAGTGTACGTAGCATTGATCCTACATCAAGTGATACCTTTCCTCAGACGGAGAACCGGACATACATGCACGGCCGCAATGACTTGCCATACCATCCAATTGACGAGCTCCCATCTACCTTAGTTCAACCACTCATCACAACGCGGTGACGTAGAGTTTCTATGACGAACCACATGCAAAGTAGAGAGTCTATTTAACCGTTTAGGGGTCGCAGGATGTCTGCTAGGTCTTAAGCCTAGTTAGCAACGCCGGTGCTCGATTGATCCGGTATCGTACGGGGCTGGCCACCTGCGCGACGCTCTCGAGATTGTTCGGCTATGCTGATGCAGCAGACATGTACCGTTGTTTATGTCCTTATACGCCGCTCGAGCGGCCCGTTTGTCGTCGAAGCGACGGCGCGTGTCGTGGAGCGTTGCCCCCTTTATGACCGCGCAAGCGGTCACAAACGATCTGACTTGTGCGGTTGCCGAAGCATTGACGCGTGGCGTGGGTTCGCCGCCCTGCATTTAGAGGTTGCATCGTTAAAGTCGACGCCGTCTAGGTCTTTGCAGTAAGCAGAAGTTGTTAACGCAGCCGACTTTGTAGCAACCGCAGTCTACTCAAGATCATACTAATAGATTCTTTCGTGCATTGCTAGCTTATGTGCTGGAAAATCATGTAGATCTTTGTGCAGATGTGATTCCTAAAGGATTCACTTACATCTCCAAATACCTTTTATCTAAAAATCTTTTTCCTAAGTCAAGTAGTTTTCCACACCCGCAAGTGCTCCCCTTCTTGAGCTCAGTCTATAAATACATAGCCAACCCATGCATTGAGTCAACGTTTGTTGTTGGACTATAGCTGCAACTTGCCTTCCATCGGTGCAACGGCTAAGTCCTTCGCCAGCGATGAATCCATCGTTTTACACAAAGAAAATCACACTGACTACTTAACAACGCTTACGAAGTTGCGCACCTCAATGTTCTTTTCTCTCGGCCGTTTACTGGCCTCTCCGTCTCCGGACCTCAGCACCAGAATAGTTTGCTATTCCACAGCTAGACAGTTTTCAGGTTTTTTTGTTTAATTACGTGCTGAGTACACGACTTGCATCAGAACCGTTTGCCGACTGGGGGTCAGGGTACTATGTACGAGAAAGCGCTGGAGCCTACGACATCTTCAAGTAGATTATGCTTCGGATACCGAAATTGAGAATGACTACAAGTACGGTGCAGCGTTACAAATTTGCGACGTGCGCCATTCATTAGAAATCATATGCAATTAACTTGCACGACGATATGCATTACCGTCACGGCAAGGGTTGTATAAGTGTATGAAGGTAATTTTACTTAGCCTCGTAAGCCAGCAAGTTTTAATCCATGTAGGTACTACCGGACTGCGCAAGCGCACCCACAGCATGCTAAACACGTCATCGTAGAGATTGGAAAATACTCGAAAGGTGACACATTCTTTGAAAAGACGCGAAGTTACGATGTCCATGATATCGCATATCTTGCGTTATTATGTTGCTAAATGCAATGTAACCATCACGCGGCGAAGTTTGTTTCTGCCAGGCCACTTAAATTGAGTTAACGGATAGACAATGTACAACACATGCACCGCAACTGACTACAACTAAATCAAGTCATCGCATTATCGAGTTGCGTACAGAAGAGAGGCCTTAGATCGACAAAGGTGTTTGTTGCCGTTCTGCATGTGTGATTCCAGGATAGACCAAGTTTATTACCGTGTATTGCCTATTAAGGATAATTATCGATCCCTAACAGAATCCTCTGCCAATTATAAATTTTGTCAGACTTGTTACTTCTATTTTTTTCAGCTTCTTTTTAATTTTGTCAGATATGCTACTGCTACTTCTCTGATTATCAAAAAGCAAAGGTTATCTATAATGTGCTAGAGGAGTTTTAGCCTCCGAGATAATTGGATACAATCAATTTAATGGATAAATTGGACATATCTTCGCTGCTATCAGCCTCACGCGACGTCACAAATGTGCCCGTGCTGGACGAGGCGTCCTTCCGTTTAGGTAAATACCGAGATGGGAGTGTGCTCAAGTTTCGGGGTGTAGTGTGCGACGTGCAGGACCCCGAATTGGTGCAACTTGGTGATGATCTGTCCGTCCCTAAAACCCAGGACTTGGTCGAGCGACTGCCTCTTGTCGTCACTATTTCCCCGCATACGAGTGATTGGGCGAAACAAAAATATGATAACAAAGCGGTAGTCGATCAGAATGATGGTCGTTGTAGTGGGAATGTAAGTCCTGCAACTTCTAAGGGTACAAAGCGTCCCAGTGCTGTAGAAGACGAGCAGATGAACGGCATTTCTAGACAGGAGCAGAATGAGCTGCAAGTAAAAAAGTACAAGGCTATGGAGACAGAGAACCAAAAAGATACTCGAATAATATCTCAAGCCGTCAGCATCTATGTCTATGATGGCCAATACAAGGACATGCCGCTGGACATCTTCAAGGTGAATGAGGCTTTCGAGTTTGTAGGCATCTTGGACTTGATGGTGTCCGGTACAGCAACAAAGAAAGATGCTGCTGAGAGTGTGCTTACTGTTAAGCAATTGGAGGAGCTTAAAATCTCTGACTGTCTCGAAGAAGTGCAACGCAAAGGTCGCTCGGGCGTTGTATTGCACTGCTCTCATGTCAGCAGATTGGAAGGTGTGCACCATGTGCGTCCTCATGAATCGAATGAGTTTTACAAGCAGATTCATGTGAGCAATAACTCGAGGACGAAATTTTGCCAGAACGAGTGGATGAAATTAGGTCAAACAGCCGATGTGGCTATAATGCGTAACCAGCTTGTTGGCTATTTGACGCAAGCAGTGGGCGGAGACATGCTTGCAGCAGAGTACTTATTACTGGGCCTAGTTTCGCATGTGTATTCACGAGCGGACTTGTCGACACCGCTTGGCAACTTACCGCTTAATTTATCCCTTGACAAGTCGCTTACGGAAGAACAGAAGAGAGAATTCGTTGCTCGAATTCAACAGACGTTGACGTCGTTGATGCCTATGGTATCGCGAGTGGATCTGTCACTGGAAGAGTTAAACTCGACCAAGTTTATGCCGCATAAGGACTATGAGCGAGAAATGTTGTTGAGTGGTGTACTGCAGGTGGCAAACGGGACGACAATGCTTGTCAATGAAACCACGTTGACTGCAGGGCAGCTGAATGACCAAGGTGTAAAGAATATCGCGGCTTTACAATCGCTGATTAACAAGATGCTTCTGCCGTATGACTTCCACTACTACAACGTGGATTTTCCGCAAGATGTGGCAATTGTTACAGTGTCAGAAGGCAAAAGCATCTTGCCCGTCACTGTAGCCGTACCCATCTCATCTGCAGCTAGTGCAACTACCAAGATGCGATCTCTTTTACTGCCAGAGGAACAGATACTAGAGTGCTTTCGCGTGTTCTTAAGCGTTCTTCGCTCGTTTGTAGTCACGATTGGAAACGAAGAAGCTGAGATGGCCGAGAAGTATTACGTAGAGTGCCGCAAATCCCAGCAAAAAGTGGCGGTAAGTCTTAAAGTGGTACTGTATTATCGAAAGGAACGAATCAAGTAAAGCTGACAAACATTTGTGTGTATGACTACAGCTGGAAGATCTTCATCGGTGGCTGCGGCTTGCTCGTCTTGTTACGCTTAGTCGAGGGGAAGGACACATCTCCAAGGACTCATGGAACGCAATGCTGGTGCTGGAGACTGAACGACTTGCTCGTCTCCCCATTGAAAATGCCAAATGAACTTCGATTGGACATAAATTATAAATTGTCGCATCATTGAGACAACTTTGGAGTAAATCTATGATTTTGGACGTGGCCACACCGAACGTACATGTCAACGTTATGTCATTGTCCAACTCTGGATGGTGACGACGTCCATGACAGCTTGACAACGTGAGCTCAGAAAACTAACATTGCAGCAACGCATGACTTACCGCGTCAATCGTGGTGAGCTCTTTTGCGCTCGTATCTGGTGATGACGCACAACTCATTTTGTCGTGGTTTGCGATCACAAAACCCTTTACACCCGTGTGATTTATGATGCGTCTAAGTGTTTTTGACACTTCGGATATGTGGATTTAGTAAAAAGAACGATGGGCATGCTGAGGCGACTCCACTACAAATGTCGGGTGGCTAATATGAATCTAGAACCTTACGTTCTGATGTATGATACCGACAGAACGCAACATCACGCTGTCAATGTGTGGACGGGCATACGCGCCCTTTCATTCAAATGCAGATTGCTGCATTCCAGAACTAGACTTGTAAATATCTGCACCAATTGAATTTCATATGAAATCTCCTCAGAATTTGGTATCTACTCAGCCATATGGTGCAGATCGTACGTTAAAGGGAGACTTGACTAAGCCCCATTCATTACAATTTGTTTGCAAGCGTGTGTATAGGCTATTGCTACTGGATCGACAACGTCTCCAGTGATCGTGTGATCACTGATAATTTGTCCGATTTACACTTAAATGGGTCAGTATACAAAAAGTATACGGCCGGCTCATATCTCTTGTAAAAATGGGTAGAATGGACTGTGCTTGAATAGCCGATAAAAGTACGGTATTTCAGCTTCCTATTATTTCGAGAATTTATACTCGACTTTTTCTTGGTCTAATCCAAGTTTACATTTCAAATGAGAAATAAATTTCTAGTAACACAATACAACCCTTTTAAACCCGATTTGTCATTTATTTCCTTGTAGCATGTCAAAAATGACTCCGTTATGGCGTCGACCAGGTGTGCTCCTCGGTGGCGCAACGCTCTACGCCGGTGTGACCTTTGCTACATACGTCACGCTGTACGATCCTAGGAAGGACAGCATTAATCATCCTATTGCAACTTCTATGACCGATGCCAAGCGAGTTTCTATTTTTGACACGAATGCGTCAAAATACGATAAGGAGGTGAACTGGGACGAACGACTCATGGGCATTTCACTCATGCGACGTTTTCTATTACAACAAGCAAAGGGTCATGTGCTTGAGGTCGCAGCCGGTACAGGCCGCAATTTGTTTTTTTATCCGGAGACCTCTCGGGTAATTTTGACAGATTTGAGTCGTGGAATGCTGAACCAAGTGTCAAAAATGCAACAGCAACGACTGACGAGCTGTGAGTTACGTGTGATGAGCGCACATGAGCTCGAGTTTCCAGACAATCACTTTGATACAGTGGTGGATACTTTTGGACTTTGTAGCATGGACGACTCATTGCAGACGTTGCGAGAGATGCAACGTGTGTGCAAGAAAGACGGCGGCCACATTTTGTTGCTGGAGCACGGTCAGAGTAGCTACACGTGGCTGTCGAGCATTTTGGATAAGTTTGCCGATCTGCACGCGCAAAAGTGGGGCTGTCACTGGAATCGAGATATTTTGAAACTGGTGGATGAGGCGGGTTTGGAAGTGGAGACTGTACACCGTTTCCACTTCGGTACGACCTACTATATCGTAGCCAAGCCTGGTTGCGAGATACGAGAGACTGAATGATAGACAACATGGAGTTGATAATTGTAGAAACATATTGGATTCTGTATTAAGTTGTATGGGTTGGGTTTGTCACGCAAGAAACACATATTGTGGTGGTAGGAAAAAAATCTCTATTACCATTATAAACGATCAATGTGTTCAAAGTTGAAAGCAAGGAGTTCTGTAGGCTTGACGGCCACCCGATAGTCCTTATCTTTTGCTGTGAACTAAACGCGTATCTGAGCTGTTGTGGCTGCCGACCTGGTGGAGAAATCTGTATATTACTTTTCATGTATTCCAAGCTTTTTTAGTTCGAGGCTTCACCGTCAAAAGAAATTCACGTGTCACGTTTTGAAAGACAAGTTGCTGTCGCCCTCAACCATAAAATCCAAACCCTGCTGAGTCGGAAGGATTGACTTAATCAATTATTCGCTGCCACAATAGCTAATATTCTAGAAGGGATGACAAAGACAAGCAAATAGACCATCATCACTGGAGTGAATATACGTTCAAGTACGTGTAAGTTTGTAATTACATTCTGTCTAGCTACACATTTGAGTTTGGAAACACGGCACACGTATCTGATGTATGAGATCAGTTTAAACACTGAGTCGTGCTCATACAAGGCAAAGAGATGCACCATTGTTTCTACGACGGTTGCGATGCACGAAAAAGGTGTAGATCGCGAGAAAGCCAGAATAGCGCTGCGGTCCAAGGTGTTTAACCCCTTTAAGCTAATAGTTTTCCCTAATCGGCCGGGAGCCTCGTGTACAGCTTGGTGGTAGTTGCTACTATGTCTAGCTAATATGCACACCTTGTCTACAATCACTTGGCACCTAGCGACTGGCGCAAACGCTAACATTTTACGCGAATCAAACAAATGCGTCGTTTAAGCAATGGGATTATTTGTGAGCACGCGCTTGCTTTGGGCATTGTCGACACGATTGCTGATCTAATAGCGGTGGAGCTCAGCGAAGTAGATCCTTGTAAGTTGCTTAACCTGCTCTGCGAAAAATTCTGTCGTCACATACGAGCACATTATTATAGTTACCGAGTACATTCGTGCAACTCTTTCGAAATTCAGCTACTGGCCCTACGAATTGGGTTCAAGTTATGTGGTCATTTCGCATACTCAATGTTCAGTCAAGCAGGATAATTTATGTCTGTTTCGTCAAAACTTCTGTGTTTGTTCACCTTCAACATCGCCGTAGCCAATGCGCTCGCGATAAATTTGTCGACACCCACAGCGTCAGATGAGGCCACGCGTTGTCGACAAACAAAGACGTGGTAATCGACGAACACATCCCGAGTGGAATTCCCGATGCACATGTAATAACGATCATTCGGTGACACTCTCGCGGTGTATCTGAGCGGGCGCACTCTGCGTAAAGTGGCTTGAGGAATTGCATTGAGTCAAGCTCAAACTGTGGCTCCAATACTTCGTTAAAGAGCTGAATACCAGGACGTAAGTGGCTCTCGTTGTGAGATACGTGCTCCCAACAAGCTCTGCTAGAACGTTTCCAGATGAGGCGAAGGATAAGCTGGGAAGCAATGTATGTGCCGGTTCGTAGAAGCCTAGATGTTTGAAGCAGTTCGACCTTTTTCCCGTGTATGTACTATTGCAATGGTCACATGTAGAACATTATTATCAGTGCAGCATGTAAACGTAACAGTAGATCGCAAACACCATTGTTGGGGACTGATTACCTGGCACGGATAGGGGCTTTGTAACCTAGACATCAACTGCAAATCGGAAAGTAGATATCTTTGGAACTTTTCCCTTGTGACGCAGCATTCACGAGGCAATAGAGTTTCCTCATTGGCGCAGGGTATCGTGATGTGTTCACGCTGGAGGGATGTTCGTAGGATGCCAAAGTTACTTTGGCGAGCAACTAATTTGCGCTGAACCTGCTATATTAATTTACCTCGACTCTATGTACAATGTGGACGACGATTTTGATAAAGAAAGATTGTCTATGTCCGCGTTTTCTTAACGGCCGCCCCCTTGTAGGGGTATAACAACAGTTGGTTGGCCAAAAACTTGCCTTTGATATATTCTCGAATTGATTGCATGTTGTACTCATCTGATTCCCCCATTCACTACCCAATGTGGGCTTATTGCAACAACGGCCAAGCGACGAAGGCTTCCAACGAGCCGACATATCAGTCCTCTTACCTTAGATGGGAGTTTTCCATCATTAGAGGCCTTCTCTCCGTTGCGTGTGCCACGGGAGAATGCGAAGTGTGCGAACCTAACGAGGAGCAATAGGCACGAAGTCCAGAGGTGTGGGGCACGTTGACAAAGCAGCGAACACCCTCCACCCAGGCATTAACAAGTTCCTGCCATTCTCCATTTCGCCTCCTAGTCGCCGACCCGTTCGCCGAGCGCGATTTCCGGTACAACGTGTTTCCGTTTTAATTCAAAACCGGAGCTGCATGTCAGGGATCAGTTAGGCTGGCTCGTCTGGAACAGCCGGTCTCATGCCCGGCCTTAGTTTCAAGGCGCCACTTGCCCCCTGCATGTGCTCAAATTTGTTCAAACGGTCCAACGTGCCCTTTGGAGTGTCCCACGTGACGCACGTCGGGTTGAGCCAGCAGAATGAGCTAGTGCAGAGAAGAACGACGTAGTCATGGCAGAAGATCAGGAGATTTTCCTCACCGACATATCTGAGATAATCATAAGCATTTAATAAACAGTCTGGCCATCATCATCATCATCTAATTCTCCCATCCAGACCATTTTATTCCGCCAATAAACGCATTGTGTCAACAACAAGCACCAGAAAATGCGCTAGCCGTAGCTTCAGGCACGATTGTGTGCATCACCTATCTTCCACAAATCGCCCAGCTCCCTGCAAGAGGACCCATAAGTTATTACATACAATTTTCCCAGCAACAGGACCCAGGAAGTTCAATTACCAATATTTTCTCATTCTGCTTTTTGCAGCCTCGACGCAAAGTTGAATTTGAGCTCCAATCTTGTTGCCTTTTCCCATGGTTCGCTCAAGAATTGTGCTCATCCTTTTTGCAGTCATTACCACCACCACACGAGCTATCGACTGGAGCTTTTGGAACGACGACAACGACGTGGACACAAGCACTGATACTGAGATACTGTCGCCTGAAACACTTACGAATATGATGGGATCCGACTACATGGACCGCGTCAAGGCATTAGTTTTTGCATCGAAGGACTCGTCGGCTGCAACCGACAACTCGCCTACCACGATGCCTCCTTCCACAGACTCTTCGCCATTGTCACCTTCGATGATTAAGACTGTCGTGGCCCCATCGGCTGCCACCGACAACTCGCCTACCACGAAGCCTCCTTCCACAGACACTTCTTCATTATCACCTTCGATGATTAAGACTGTCGTGGCCCCATCGGCTGCAACCGACAACTCGCCTACCACGAAGCCTCCTTCCACAGACACTTCTTCATCGTTACCTTCGATGATTGGGACGGTCGTGGCCCCATCGCGAGCTCTGCCACACTCAACATTGTCATCTCGCATGCCTCCTGATAATGCGATTGCAACGCCTGCAACTGTCACGAGAAATTTTAGATCAAGCTACCGTAACTGGGTGGGACCTTGGAGTCAATCCGCCAGCTCGGCATGTTACCGTGAAGCTCACATCATGACGACCTGTCCGAGTAACTACGACCGCAACGATTTAACGAATACTTGTTGGACGGAGTGTCCGATGGATTACCCTGTCGAGTGTGACATGCAGTGTATTCAACAGAATAACGACTGTGCTCGTGAAAATGCTGCGAAGATTTCCGCTATAGCCATGTCTACCTTGAGTATGGCCACCCTCGGTGTGTTTGGCGAGATAGAAAACCTGGGAAGGAAAGCGGGGTGGGCTATCAGGTGTGTCAACATGCTGATGACGGCGACACGAGCTATCATTCGTTTTACGCGTAACCAAATGGTCTTGGACCCACAAACGTCGCAAGAGAAGCTTCTTCTGCTACTGTACCAGACAAATTGGGTCGTTGCCGATCTGCCTGCTACTATCTACAGGTGCACGGGAAGGCCGGTGCCACCAAACCTTTTGCTGGCACGACAACTGATGCCCACTGTTCAGTACATTCTTCTATTGGTGCTCGGCTATAGCGATACCATCATTTCCGACTGGAAACATTTCAAGGCTTTCATGACTAGCGCCAATTTCACGGAGGCTGCTTCTAAAATTACAGAGGGCGAGATCTCGAGTCTTGAAACGGCTATGAAGCAGAAATCGACTTGCAGCGATGACTTGAGTTCAGCGATGAATCTTGTCTGGATGACTATTAGTGAGTATAGAGAGAAGAATCCTGATATCAGTGAGGCAGAAGTCCGTCTCAAAATAAGCCAGTCCGATCTCATGTTGTACGACATCCCTACGGTGACTAACAACTGCATGAGTCAAATGATCTCCGAGTCTAATGAGGCCACCGCGTACAATACGCGCGAAACGCTTCGAAAGACGTTCGGAGTTGTTATTAACGACCTCATTAAGCATGGCAGGAGTGACAATGGAACGTCCATGGCCGCGAAGCACAGCACTTACTTGTGGGTCGACACTGCTCTTACTCTTATTTCATGCACGGGACTCGAAGCCGCGGATCTGTCGGTCGTGTTTTCCGAATTTCTCCAGACCGTCTGTGGCCCGACACAGTTCATGGGTGAAATTGACGACGGCACTGATGCCGCTACCCTGGGCTTGAATGCACTCAAGAAGGCCTTCAAGAACAGTTCGAGCTCTTGGACTAGGATCGGGGACGGCGTTGTCATCGTCAACTTTAAGAGCAATGACATCGAAGATGTTACGGTGAATATTATGTCTGGTGGTAACAAAATTGACGAGGTGAATGTGAAAGCTGGAGGCACAGCTCAGTGGAGTTCAACCGTCAAAGCACTAGGTGGGAAGACGTTGTATTTAGACCGGTGGCATACGAATATCCTAGGCATTTCTAATACAGGAGGTGGCTCATTGATGTTGTGGGTGCCCATTGCACGTGAGGGGGGCCACTTAGAAGTCGAGGCCCAGCTGAACCCTACTTAAAATTCTAGAGTACTTATGTTTGTGTGTGTTAACGATAAGTCGCCATAAGGCGCAAGAGCAATTGTAGACGAGTGAGATCACCATTATACAAACGATAAAAATACATATATTCTGTTTTTTTAAACTTACTCCAACTTTGGTAACAATTTCTGTACAATTACATGTACCGTTTTGTAAAAATTCAAGTAATGAAGTAGCAGCAATCAGCCTTTTACTAAGTGACCAAAAAAAGTAATTTTGAGCTCTAAATTTGAAACTTAGTAAACTTGTTTCAAATTTGGGTAAGTCTTTATTAATCAGCAGATATCTAGCAAAATGTACTAAACGACTGCATCGTGTGATAATATACCTATCATAAGCTTTCACTGCTCAGCCACTTGTGATATTGTGTGCTTCCGTGTCATCTTCAGTTTTCAATACTGCAATAGGGTGGATCAATATATACTTCGAATAGCTGCAAAGACTTTCATTAATTTCACAAACAACTTTGGTCAATATGAACATGCAGTAAAGATCTACGACCCTATGTTAGGTCACAGCTCGTATCGTCAACGATATCGCACATATAGCTACACTAACTTTCTCGAGATATTAGCGGGCTTGAAAACGACCGCGAGCCTGCCTAAGTGTGAGTTTGGGAAGCTGGGGTTTGATCAGTGATCAGTAGCGAATATAGAATGAACCGATTGACAAACTGGATAATCGATGCACACTCGGACATTCACGCCGTTTTTGTTCTAACGTAAAACGATTCAAGAAGCTCAGCTCGATCAAGCATGCATCCAAAATCTCTTTAAAAGGTCCTACACATTGGCGCACTAGAGAAATTCGAGCTCGGACGCTAGGTGACATAATTGGCGTCACATTTATCTAATCATGCTCCGATCCGAAACTGAAGCAGCGATCCATCTATGAGGAGGATCTATCGATAACAATCTAAAATGATTTTTGGTTTTTGTTCTACGTCCGAAGATGGCTTCACAGGTTCATTTGTGTCGTCAGCATTAGTTTGGACTCAGCAGAATGCTAGATACCTATGATGTAACGGGGTTACACGACGGTTGTAGCGTCTTTCCGAGAGTTTACGGTTAAACTCTCCTTTGTATTGCATATAATGCATTATTATACTTCTCTTTAGAGAGGTATTAAGTATGAGCGTTGTAATACGGTATTCGGTAATACCGTATCTTATCGATTGGGATTCGATAAATCACTAACGCTGTATTAAGTACATATACACAGATGTTTAGGCGATACGTCGTCCAATAGCAAAGTCTGCATATAATAATTACTATTATAGTAATTAATCTAGTGTAGTGTACTTAGAGTAGGACTATTCATAAAATCTTAAAGCATAAATATAATCAGTTCTCCTTTTGAGTTTAAGATCGCAAGTCGTTCTGACTTGTTCTCTTGTGCACTTCGTGCGTTGGTTCTCTGAACCCCTAAGCTTCTAGCTTGTTCTTGCACTCTGTGCGTTGGTTCTCTGAACCTTAAGCATATTGCTTGATTGATTAAAAGTCTCTTTCCTAGTTCCTTAGAACAGGGTGACTTTAAGTCGTTTAATTAGTTCCTCAGAACTAAGTGGCTTTTAGCCTTCACTCTATTTAGTTCTCTAGAACTAAGAGGCTTCCAGCCGAAAGTCTTCCTCTGGCTAAAGAGCTGTGTAGCTCCGCTACACTTGGTAGCACTTGTAGTCAATCCTACACCTGAGTCTTTAAAGACTGACCCTCTGTGAGAATGGAGAATCAAAATCACCTCTCTGAGGCACAGCGACTCGCCTTAGATAAACTATCGGCGTTCGTCGGGCCCGATCAAATCGAGGCCCTTTTGGCCCAAGGCCCCGAGGTTCTAAATGCTCGTCTTGAGGCCTTTATGCGTTATGAGGCAACGCTCCTCGGGCAGGTCCATGACCAGGCAGCGTCAGCCGCGCCTGTACAGTACATTCCGGTACCTGTGACCGATGCAGAGCCAAAGGCTCGTCCACTTGTTTTAAGTGTCAAGACCTTCGAAGGGAAGGAGGGAGAGAACCTTCTCCTCTGGATCCGAGAAGTTGAAATGGCAATGGATGCCGCCATGCTTGCATCCGATAAGCAACGAGTTGGCTTGGCCATTTCTAAGCTCGGTGGAAGAGCTAGAGAGTGGGCTCTAACGAGCGGTGTCTCTGTAAATGCTGCATTTCCCACATGGGAGATGCTTAAAAAGCAATTAACTTGTGTGTTTGCACCGCCTAATCAGGCTTATCGTGTGCGCTCACGCTTCCTAGCTACCCGACAGGGTAAGAAGGAATTGTCGGACTATGTCCAAGAGTTGAGAACTCTCATTGCTGCTATGCAGCAGGACCCACTGGCAGAGGAAGTCCGAGTAACCATTTTTATGGAGGGACTTCGCACTGGGGTCGCCAGGACGGAAGTTTTCCGTGTCCAGCCTTCAACTTTTGAGGAGGCAGTAAGCGTAGCATTTAACGCTGAATTCAATTTTAAATCTGCTCGATATGGTCTGCCCTGGTATCAATCAAATACCTCTAATAGGGCGGAACCCATGGACCTCAGCCATGCTGAAGAAGCTGAGCTTCAAGCTGCTGAGCAGCAAGGTAGCATCCGTAGATGTTACATGTGCGGAAGCACTAGGCATCTCCGCCCTAGCTGTCCGTTGCGAAAGCAACGTTCAAATCGGCAAAGCCGAAGCCCTGCTCCTAGCCAAAAGGCGAGCACCGCAGGGGAAAATGTCGACTCCCAGTAGGCGCGGGGCGCCCTACTGGGAAAGAACTAAGTTCTGTTGAATCTTTAGGAGGTAAAGGTAAACAGGGCTTAGCCCCAGGTGGTTCTGTGGATGCTCCCATAGAACAAAATTACAAGCCAGGCTTGTTGGTTGTGTCGGCAACCGTTAAGGGTTTTGAGAAACCCTGGTCAATTTTAATTGACTCAGGGGCGTCAGGTAATTATGTCCGACGTCGCTCCCTTGAGGGGAGTCAGCTGTATGCTGAGGCGCTGGAAGCGCAAGAGGGTGACAGTATAACCGTACGTCTCGCGACTGGTGTACGTGTCACCGTTCCTAAAGTTCCGTTGAACTTAGGTGTGAAATTTTTAGATTTCAATAGCGTTGAACGCTGTCTTGTCCTAGATTTGGACTCGAGATATGATCTCATTCTCGGTATGGCCTGGCTGGAACGCCATGAGCCGTGGATCGATTGGAGATCCAAAACTTTAGGCGCAACGCGCAATGTTCCTAGCGAAGCTTTGGAGAGTCATGAACCCACCTTCGCTAGAAAACAAAAGTGCTATTGGCGCGAGCCATTAACTGATTCAGTTAATGTGCTGGACATTGGAGTGTCTGAGTTGATAAACTCCGATGTCAACAATAATAGTGTCGAGCAGAGCTCAATGACACTTAGTGGAACGGCACGTACTCCGTTGAGTGATACTCAAAGTAATATTGAGACACTGGATGTCGGTAATGACATCGGCTCTCGTATAGAGCAAGTGAAGGTCGATGACCTTGTTAGTGATATTGGCTGTAAATGCGATTCACTGGATGTCGATAATGACATCAGCTCTCGTATAGAGCAAGTTAAGGTCAATGACCTTGTTAGTGATATTGGCTGTAAATGCGATTCACTGGATGTCGATAATGACATCGGCTCTCGTATAGAGCAAGTTAAGGTCGATGACCTTGTTAGTGATATTGGCTGGAAATGCGATTCACTGGATGTCGGTAATGACATCGGCTCTCGTATAGAGCGAGTGAAGGTCAATGACCTTGTTAGTGATAGTCGCTGGAAATAGCGACTCACTGGATGTCGGTAATGACATCGGCTCTCGTATAGAGCGAGTGAAGGTCAATGACCTTGTTAGTGAAGTCACTGGTACTAGTGACCCATTGGGTGTCGGTAATGACATCGGCCCTTACATAGGGCAGGTAAACGACAAGGGGTCTGTTGACCTTGGGGACGATAACATCCCAAGTACTTTGAAGAGTACGGTCTCGTCAAGGAGACGGCAGCGTCGCCAGATGGCGGCTGCGAGACGCAAAGCGTCTGTTTTATCGCATAGTAATGTCAATGACCAGTTGTACACCCTGGTCAACGGAGTGACAGGTGATGTAGATGGTGAGGTTGACCTTGAGGCCCTCCCATCATTAAATGCTCTTTTAGAGCTAGACGAAATGTCTGTGGATGAATTTCATCAGGCCTTGAAGGCAGGTGCTCTATCCGATATGGTGGTCATTCGACCTAACCTCGAGCTGAACTCATCCTCGCTTGTCGATGAGACAGTCCTTGAAGATACCAAAGCGGCACTAAGTGCACGTAGTGGGGCATCTATTCTAAAGGACCCTTCAGATCCCTACTATCCTTTGGTAAAAGAATTCCAGGACGTGGTGTGTCACGATCCACCGTCGGTTCTACCACCTGATAGGGGCGTACGTCATGAAATTGACTTGGTTCCCGGAACCAAATACTGTGTAACACGGCAGTGGCCTTTACCCAAAGAACAGTGTGACGTCATTGACGAGTTCTTTCGTGCAAAGCACGCGGCGGGCATGGTGCGTGAAAGTAAATCTCCGCACTCGACACCCACTTTCTGTGTTAAGAAACCAAATGGTAAATGGCGTATTGTTCATGCTTATAATAAGCTCAATGCGGCCACTATACCTGCACAGACACCGATACCTAGAAAGGATGTTCTTCAGAACAATATGGTCGGTTGTACCATGTACAGTGCGCTCGACTTAGTCGATGGTTATTACCAATTGCTCATGCGAGCTAGTGATATTCCGCTTACTGCTGTTAGTACTCCGAGCGGTATGCTCTGGGAGTGGTTAGTGATGCCCCAAGGGCTATCTAATGCTCCGGCTACGTTTAACCGTTTGGTGACGCAATTGTTTCGACCCCATCGAAGTTATGCACAGACGTATTTTGATGACATTTTTGTCCATAGCCGAGCTGAACATGGGCGGTCAGATATTGAGAACCATATTGTTCATTTACGAGCAGTGCTCGA